AACCTTTACTTCTGGGTTTTTGTTTCCGGTAAGAAGGAATTTTAGTTACACGCCTGCACTCTGCAACAAGTCTGGTACTTATTGTTCACATCGAGGATGGAAGTATTATTGGCTGAGAGGCCGGTCACGTGGTAAGAGTAGGCTGTCCTACGAGCGGAGATGACAACACCAAAGGGTGTGACCAGTTTCTGAAAAAAAAAGTGATGCGCTCTGTTAACGAGGCGGTTGAGGTGAAATGGGCAGACGTCATGTGAGTTTGTGATTTCCACTTATCTGTACAACAAACCTGCAATAATACGGTGCACATTTGTTTCAGACCTTTGCATAATGTAACACCTAGCAGACACAGGCTCTCTCAGAGCATTGAATCAGATTCATCCTTTGGGTATCTGTCAAATCATCCCACAGCACATGGAAGTCACACATTAAGATATGCACTGCCCCATCATCTCCCAGTCTGCCTACAGTTAAAGTGCAGAAGCAGAAATGAGTTGATGGAATAACTGATGTGAAAAATCTGTGCTGTTTGTGCATTTTACCCCAAATTCCTACCAGTGAGAACATACTGTTGTCCTCCAGTGTCCAGAGTGGCTCCACACTCTCCAATGCAAGAAGTGTAGACAGCATCAAAATTCCTCCTAAGGCCTTTGAACACCCGAGTCAAACAAAAACCAAAAACCCATATACAAGTTGCTACACTGAAAAAATATAAAGCAGTTCATTCCATACCTTAGTCACTTCAATGTCATAACTGCTGGTCTTCAGTGTGTTTCTGAGGGGTCATCAACAGCTCTGGAAGGATCTAGATCAGGGGTGCCCAAACTTTTTCCCTGAGATTGTCAAAATGAAAATCTATCAGATGACTGAGCGCCAAATGCAATAAAATAATATATGAAATACAAATATTTCTTTAAGTAAAGTCCTTTTATTTTTTTTAAAGTTATTTAACCTTCCTTTCTGTAGAAAGAAGAATACAGAACACACAATATAAAATAAGTCATACATTGGAAAATAAAACATATATACATTTTGGCATTTCAGCATACAGTATGTGTAGTGCAAAATGTCAAAAAGTGCATGTCCAACAGCAACACAACTGAACAGCAACAATACGATGACACTAGTGAGAAACATGAAGCTGGTCTTTGACTTTCATCAGTCTCAGTATCAGGCTGCAGCTGACTCACAGAGGTTCTGCAGGTGTGGGTTCTGCAGGTGTGTACTTCTGAGCCTGGACTTGTTCAGGTTCTGCTCACATGTTAGTGCTGCAGACAATGATAAAATCACCTGTGCATGTTTCCTAATGCTTGGATACTTTTCTGATGAGACGTAGAAATCTTTGTGGCATAGTGACTTGAATTTATTTCTTATCTCAGAATTGCACTGAAACTCATTTAGCTCCATCTGAATGTGATGGGGCACCGAGTCCACACTTATGTTGAAGGGATGGGAAAACAGCTCCATGTCACCTCCACTTTTCCAAAAGTCCTCAAAGCACAGCTCAAACTCCTGGTCCAGGTTCTAGAGAAGTGCTGCGTGTTCAGGCAGTCTCTGCTTCACCAGTTTGAACTCTCTCAGACTGGGGAAGTGTGCAAGGTTCCCTGAGAAGATGTTAAAAGTCAACAACACAAGAGCTGTAACAAATATTGCAACATAAATATTGTTTTTATGTTATTGAAATAGTTTTCCTTTTTGCAGATGTACACCCCAAACGAGAGCAACACATTTTAACTGCACAACAGTGTTAAAGTCCACTTATGCTTGTGCACTTAATATATTTCACATAATATTAAACTCAATAACTGCACTTCTATCATGTGAGATAAATGCTGCCAACCGTCCTCTCTACTATCACTTGATTAAATCATGAACATTGTTACCAACACAAGAATGTGATTAAAAAGAGAATAAACAAGAATGTCTGCCTCAAGTTTAAGTACCACGGACAGTGCCGTCACTCCACAACACAGTAAAAAGTGCAGGACTTACTCATCACATAAATCACAGTAGCTACGACACATAATTATGATTAAAAACTTATGTGTAAATCTGCAACTTACAAATAGTCTGGAATCATTAAAAACAAACCAGCATTACCATACAAACAAATCTATTAGACTTCAGGTGTGTGCATGCATGAACATTGAATATGGCAGAGTCAAAATACACATTAGCTGCTATGCTAACAGGGCAATTAGCATGTGTAGTGAACTAAGCCTCAGGTCAAAACCTGATCCTGGGACAGGAACTGTTATTTCATTGATTTGAGTCCAGAAACACAAATTAAGCTCATCCAGAGACTTTCTGAGTGTGTCCTGCACTGGTCAATTGAAAGAACACTCTCTTTTCATTATCATTACTATTTTACAATATCTTGATAATCAAAGTGTGTTTAGTTCAAATCATTTTTAAATGTTGAAGTGAACTACTCATTTTAAATCAACTGTGAAACAGTATTAATGATTTTTAATCCTCATTCAAAGTAGAAATCAAGTTAATGTCTGTTACAAGAGTAATGATGCATTTTTGATCTTCTGTCTGAAATGAGCAAGTAGTGAGTCGGTCAAAAGTGAAGGAACGGTCAAAAACATGTTTATCGGAACGAAATGTCATGTTTAACTCTCTCAGATAGATAGAAGGAGACTGGCTCCTAAATGTCTCTGTTTCTTCAAAACATCTTTCTGTTTGTTCTTAAAACAATCTACTCTGTCTCCTTGACTTGTAATAACCTCTTACGTCACTAAAACCACACCCCTGTTGGTTCGTTCAACCAATCAGGAAGTTCTCAGAGGAACCGGAAGTGACCTCTTTAAAAGGGTCGACACTTCCTAGTTCCAAGCAGAACAAGAGTTCCAAGCAGAACAACGTTCCAGACATGAACCAAAGTTCTGAGAGCAGAACCGAACGAAAGTTCTGAAGTGCTGGAGTTAGTAGGGAGTTCTTTCGAGTCTCGTGGGGATTATGGAATCTTCCACATCTGAGTGGAACTCTGACGGGCTCACAGCTCATGTGAGTCCACCTGGGAGGTGAGCATGCTGTTGAACGAAGTACTCTCACGACTCCTGAGGTCACAGCTGTTCTTACGGAGACGCTGAAAAGAGTTGAAAGAAAACTCTACACCGGAGCCGAAACTATCGTCTGCAAAGGTAAAAGAGTCGATCTTCACTTGCGAGTGTACCGTGGGTTAAGCTGCGTCCAAAGGAGCGTGTTGTTTCTGGTTATAACAGACACATTCCCTCACCCATCTCTCTCCATTTAAACTTCATTTTCCCATCTTTAAAACTCTTCTATCTGCCAGTAATTAATCCAGATATTTTCAGAAATGTCTGTTGTATTTCAGTTGCAAGTGAGAAATCATTGCCGTATGATTTCCCATTGTAAAGCTCATTAATTAAGCTGTGTTAATTGTAATAAATCTGCCAATTATTGTAAATGTGTGATGTGTTTTAAATCGTTTAATTAAACGGCTCACTGTTGTTGGTGAGTCAGAAATTTAAACACGTTTCCGTCCACATTTAATCATTCAAGGCACGATAGTACTCAGTCCAGAAAAATGAAAGAATCAGTTTAAATAAAGGATAATATCAGACGCATATTATCTCTCATTACACATGCCAACGCATAAATGCTAATACAATAAAACCAGCGCTTAATTTGAGCTGGATCTTGCCAAAACAGGATCTTATTTTGACAGGGTGCGTTCCGGCAACTGTTTGCTTGGCTCTGGTAACTCTCAGGCTTACTGATAATAAAGCTGTGAACAAATATGACTGCCTTGAACAAATAAAAAAAATATTGGATATCTAAACTGAAAATGACATGAACACTAATTGTAAACACAACAGACGACACAGTACGACTTTTTAATATCACATATGATCATCTACACCTTCAAATGAAGCATTTCCGCCTCTACCCATGCCCTAAGAGCGTTGGGGGTGAGTGCACGGCGGTTTCACATGTGGAGTCTGACAGTGAATTCAGCGGAGAAGAGTCGCCTCCTAAGGGGGATAGGATGAGTGTTTACAAATGTAGGTAAGCATAGATGTTTAACAACCCATTAAGATACACAAAAATGCAGGAAATCACATCTACTTTATTCAAAATTTTATGGGGGAGGACCCCCAGACCCCCTCACTGTAAGACAGCCCCACTAAAAGAGATCCTTCCTGCCTACAACCATCAGCATCTATAACTCTTTAATGAAACCAGGATGAGTTTGCATTAATTTCCCTTTGGGAAAAAAGTATTTTTAATTGAATTCTCTGCCAACTTAAACACTGTTTGTGTGCAGTTTTATCAGCCGTATTAGTAAAAAATATCCATAAACTTTGAGCAAAAATTCCCTGACAACCTCACTTTAACTGGCACAACACTGCCTCCTTGTGCCTAAGCCTTGTTTTTAAACATTACATTAGCTTGCTCACATTAAATGATTACTGGTAAATAGAACATAATGTATATGCCAAGTAACATTTACCACCAGGCTACACTCAGAAGATCGTCTCCACAGTCCAGTCAAAATAAACTTCAAACTTTTATCCGTTGTCTGAAATTAAAGATGGAAACGAACCTTGTGAAGCTACATAATATAAAGCTTGACATGGTTTGGTTCCAGCTTTTGAAATCGACATATTGGGCGCCGCTACTTTATAGCAATCAATATGGTAAATGGGCTCATTCTAGATTTTAGAATTTAAAAAATGTAGATAATCTAGAGAAAATCAGAGTCGTCATTGTGTACAATAAACTTTATTCTGGTGATACAGCAGCTTGTGAACAGACCATGGAAAAGAACAAACATACACCGGAAAATATTTAGGATCTAAATAGATATAGAAAAGAAACTAAGAATTAAAACAGTGTGATGGGCTCAGGACAGGAAGGATTTCCTAAACTGGTCTGTATGACTGCAGAGATTATCAGCTCTCCTGAGGTGGTGTACAGTCTCTGCACCAGGAGCATGAACCATCGCACGTCTTGATGCACATATAATTTGTCTTGCACAGTATCTCCAGTCATCCAGTCAGTGTATTCTGCTGGGCTGCTGATAATGCAGGGGAAGGAGAAGTAGGTGTTCATCTGAGGGGTTAAAAGATAAGAGATTTAAACCTCATTGTCTTTCACTTTTCAGAATCATAACTTCAGAGATTCACCACAATTTAGAAATGAATATTTCCCATACCTAGCAGCCACAGCCAAATGTTTCACACTGAAACAGTTTCAGCCTCTGGGAGATGCTCAAGTCATAATCCAGCTCAATGAAGTCACACAGTGAGATATGCACTTTCCCATCTTGCAGTTTGCCTACAGTTAAAGTGCAGAATCAGCAATGAGTTGATGAAATAACTGATGTGAAGAATTCAGTAATATTGGTGCATTTTAACCCAAATTTATACCTGTGATGAGATACAATGTGTCTGCAGTGTCCAGAGTGACGCCACAAGATGCAGAGGAGGAAGAGGTGTAGATTTCATGAACAGTGAAATTAAGGCCTTTGTACACCTGAACCAAAAACAACCCAAAAGATGATATACAAGTTAATAACTCAACAGAATAATAACAATACTGCATGCCAATCCCCCCCATTGCTGAGATATGAATAGTTAATATGTAGTTTTCAAGAGGAGCTTTACTTAATTGATTCGACATGGCAACTCAATTTTTGATAGGAACCTTTCTTATGTAGCCACACACCAAAGTGGAAGTCAGTACTTCAGTTAATTTTCAAATTATCTCACTCAAAACACAGACAGAACGACAGATGGACGGCATTTCCAATTCCCTCTCAGTGGGGCCAAAATGTAATTCATCCAATACCTTAATCACTTGGACGTCATATTCGATGTACTTGGATGAGTTTCCGAAGGTGTCTTTCCCATTTTCAAATGTCCAATTTCCAGTGACGCTTGCGCTGAAAACTACAAATAAAAAAATAAAATAATAAATAAAATATACATTAACACAGACAGCATAGTGTTAGCATGCTAGAGTTGATAGCAGAAACATGTTTCCAAAAATTTAGATTTTAACAGATTGCATGTGCCAGGAAGGTGGAAGCAGCAACAGTTGCATCAGCTGCAACTAAAGAATGTGTTGCCCATTTCTAGAGTCAACATAAGAGGAATGAAGTCAGGACTCTGACAAGCTGATATAAAAATCCCCGTTTTGCCTGTAGGCTCCTCATTCAGTTTACATCTGGATATAAATGGTAACATGCAAACAGCCACTTTTACATTTTGAGAGTAGATGTTCAGCTCAAACTCAAATTATGACCAATCACAACCTCCAGACGTTTTTGTAAATTCCAATTCAGTCATTGCCCTTCAAGATAGCAAGAACTAACTGTAAGGGACTGTTAAGAGTTTTTATTGTTACTGGTAAAGATTTTTTGGCATTTAAACTTTCTGTGTTGTGTAAAACAACATTTGATGCTGAAGCAATGTCCTTTTAATTAAAAAGCTGGATTTTAACTCGATTTGTCTCCTGGAGACAGTTCCGAGTTGCCAAAGATGCAAACCATCACATAATACAACTCATTCATGTTTTCTAAATGGCAATTGGTTCAAGACAGCACGAATGTGTGCAGAACTAAAAGTTTATATTTTCTGCATGTGAAAATACATAAAAAATTACAGTAAACCTGTTAAACAAGGCTGTACCATCTTTTAAAAGGAATATTAGAGCAGTTGTTGTGAGCAACTGCACATTTAATTTCTTTCCTGCAAATGAGGGGTGAAGGGAATCTGGTTTTCATGCCAGCTGTGTTTGCACAACTTTCATTCAACCTTTATTTATACAGGTTGATCTCATTGAGCCTCGGGGACTCATTTACAAGAGAGATTCTAACAAAGAGTGATGACAACAGTAGACAATCATAAAAGGAAGCATACAAATTGAGAACAGGTGAAAGAGAATGGCATAAAAAATGAAACAACGAGAAAAAAAAAACCTAGCTAGGTTGTAAGGCGATGTAGAAAACTAAAACAGGAACATGTCTGCATTGGATTTTGCCAGGAACATAGCAGATGTTTGAAGCAACTTAGAGAGGTCAAGAGCTTCAGATCTTTTTGTAAGATATTCCAGGAAACAGGAGCAGAGTAGGAGAAGGCTGTTTTGCATAGTTCAGTCCTCACTGAGGGAACACTGCAGGTAATAACGTTCTCAGAGTGCACGCTGTAGCTACACTCACACAGTGACATGTAGGAGGAGATGTATGAAGGCAGCAGACAAAGAAGTGATTTAAATATGAAAATATACCAGTGAGAGAGTCTACGTGAAGTTAATGATGTCCAGTTAACCAGTGAATACAGGGTGCAGTGGTGGGTACGGTCGTTACAGACAGTTATAAAGCTTAGCACATCGTGATAGGCAGCATCCAACATCTGCAGGGTGCTTGTAGGAGCGTTCATGTAAATAATATCACCGTAGTCAACGAAGGGAAGGAAAGTCACTGTTACAAGGCATTTCCTAGCATTCAGAGTTAGACAGGATCTATTTCTGAAAAATAAACCCAAATTAAATTTCAGTTTCCTTATTAAGTTTTTTTTATGTGGAAATTAAAAGAGAGATGCAAATTAAACAAGATACACAAGTATTTGTAGGAATTAACAAACTCAATAGGAGCACGATTCGAGGATAAAATTGAGGGAAGAACTGTTGGAACAGACTTCCTGTTTCATAGCAGCATCCCTTTGGTTTTGTCAGTGTTTAGGACAAGTTTGAGATGGAACAAATCAAAAGTAAAAGTGAAAGTTTCTTTATTTGTCATATGGTGGAACGAAATTGTGTACAAAGGGTCCCAGTTACATCCAACAAAAGCATAAAATGTAAAAGAAAAACAGTAATAAGATCTAAGATATGAACTAAGAAAAACATTAAAATAAAAATACGCTAATCACTAATAGTACAAAAACAATACACCGAACAGCAGCACAAATCAGACTGGATGATGTCAACAGCGGATTGCAAAAGCTGGAAAACCTTAGCAACTGTTTTAGCTCGACAGTAAACAACTGTATCATCATAGAAATTTAAAGATGCATCAGGGATGATCTGACGTACATTACTTATGTAGATTGTAAAGAGGGTGGTTCCTAAGACTGAGCCCTGTGGTACACCATTGTTGACCGTTAAATAACTGGAGGAAGTACCATTATGTTGAACACATTATGCTGAACTTGCAATGGGGCTATTATCTTTAAAGTCATGTTTAACCAGACCTTTGTCAAATATGTCAAATAATCCACTTTACTGATTTAACAAATAAAAAAAAAAACCTTTGCAATTACTGAAAAAACTACTAATGCAAAAATTCTACAGTTTACTCAGAGGTTTTGCTCCACTCCAGCGTTGACCTCATATCTTGACTTTCAAATTTTGATGAAACATCTATACATACAAACTATTTTCACTTCTGATCCTAGCAAGAAATTGAAAATATTTAAGCAGATAATTTACATAATGTTTCAAAAATCCAGATATTATGGCTCCAACTAAATCTGAGCATTTTAGGCAATTCCAGAAATTAAGCCAAGGATGTCCTACAAGATCCTTTCTAAACATTCAATACAAGTCCACCCAGAACTTGTTTGAGAAGACATCTTTACATGATGTGTAGGCTTAAAGCATAGAAAGATGGACAGTTGGAGGGATGAAATAATAATACATTTTTTCATTCATTATTTCAATTAAATATAAAAAAAAGTGAAGTTATTGCCATGTGGTAGTCAATAAACAAAACTAAAGCTACCTACATCGCCCCCCTCTAAAATCTTTGGTTTGCAAACTTCTCCATATAAAAGCAAAACCCACGCTTGTCCCATTTTTAAACCACAAGGCATCCCCCAACAATGTTTCGTTGGAGATACCAGTCACATTTCCTCATCAGTAAAGTTGAGCTCAGTTTCCTGAGTAAGAGAATTTCTTGACAAGAGAAATGTTCAGTTAACTTCTGTATTAAAAAACAGATTCAGGCTGTTTAAATGCAAAAAGGTTTAATTAAAAAAGTGACAATTAACTGCTGAGATTTTCATTAGTTATAGAACAACAGAGTTTTGTTAAAAGTTAAAATGTAAAATTATTTTTGTTAGAAATAAGTTATAAGTACATTTGTCGATACTAGTGACATACATATCAAGACAATCTTTACATCCCTTAAAGAAATCATGTGAAAATTACTTGTTTTTTCACCTTTAAAGACGAGCGAAAGTGTTTTTTTTTTTTTGTTGAAAGGAATAGTGAAAAATTTTATTTTTGAGACGCAAACATTATGTAAAGACTGGACATTTTTAAATGTGTATCATTTTTAGGATTAACCATTTTTAGCCTAAATAATTCAGATATAGTAAACTAAGTATTTTGTTGACAGAATATCAGTTTACCTACTCGACAGAAATAGAGGGAAGTAAAATAAATTACGTCCTCCATCTTTTTAATAATAAAAATGAGAATGGGGTATTTTTACCTGAGCATATTGTCAAACGAAAGAAAAATTGGACGTTTTAACTCGTTCCTTATTAAAAAAAAAAAAAGTTAAACTTACCAACATCTGAGTTGCAGAAAGCCTCCTGAAGATTGACAGGGAGACACTTGCAGGCTTCTGCCACATCTGCCACTTGCCAAAGTAACAGGATGGTCAGTGAGACGAAACAGCTTTTCATTATCAGAGTCATCTTTAGATGCTGAAGAGCCCGCTGTCAAAGTGTGTTGCAATCAAACAGAGAGCAGGTTGCACGTCCTTGGATCTGCTCCCCTGTCAAGAGAACAGCAGCTTTTATCTCCATCAGAACACATCAGCCCACACCCTGTGATAGTCAGACTCCGCCCCTTTTGAGGAGAGAGGCACAGACACTGTCAGGTCAGGACCTCCAAAACTTTCACAAACAACAACCAAGTTTGTCATTCTGTCACATGAAGGGAAGGACAACTGGTTTTTGGTTGGAACATCACTGGAGGCTGCAGGCAGGTCAACAGTCTGAGTCACAGGGACCGTTTTCTCTGTTTACAACAGACGCGCCTCCAGATTTGATGATGATAAGAAACTTGCAGGCATCTCATATCCTTGTGGCAAATAGAATGACATTCTACTGCTCCTTACTGCCTAAGCAAACAAAATTCTACTTCATCCACAGTTTAGAAGTGAATCTTTCCCATACCTAGCAGACAGTCTCTCTCAGAGCATTGAATCAGATTCGTCCTTTGGGTATCAGTCAAATCATCCCACAGCACCTGGAAGTCACACATTAAGATTTGCACTGCCTCATCATCTCCCAGCCTGCCTACAGTTATAGTGCAGAAGCAGAAATGAGTTGATGGAATAACTGATGTGAAAAATCTGTGCTGTTTGTGCATTTTACCCGAAATTCCTACCATTGAGAATATACTGTTGTCCTCCAGTGTCCAGAGTGGCTCCACACTCTCCAATGCAAGAAGTGTAGACAGCATCAAAATTCCTCCTAAGGCCTTTGAATACCTGAGTCAAACAAAAACCAAAAACCCATATACAAGTTGCTACACTGAAAAAATATAAAGCAGTTCATTCCATACCTTAGTCACTTCAATGTCATAACTGATGGTCTTCAGTGTGTTTCTGAGGGATCATCAACAATCTGTTGGATGTGAGGTAGAGAGAACGAGAAGCTCTGGAAGGATCTAGATCAGGGGTGCCCAAACTTTTTCCCCTGAGATGACCAAAATGAAAATCTATTAGATGACTGAGCGCCAAATGCAATAATAAAATATATGAAATACAAATACTTCTTTAAGTGAAGTCCTTTTATTATTTATTTTTATATTTATATCACCTTCCTTTCTGTAGAAAGAACAATACAGAACACAAAAACATAAAATAAATCATATATAGGAATTTAAAAGAAATATATAAATTTTGGCATTTCAGTATAATTATATGTAGTATAAAATGTCAAAAAGTGCATGTCCAACAGCAACACAACTGAACAGCAACAATACGATGACACTAGTGAGAAACATGAAGCTGGTCTTTGACTCATCAGTCTCAGTATCAGGCTGCAGCTGACTCACAGAGGTTCTGCAGGTGTGGGTTCTGCAGGTGTGTGCTTCTGAGCCTGGACTTGTTCAGGTTCTGTTCACATGTTAGTCCTGCAGACAATGATAAAATCACCTGTGCATGTTTCCTAATGCTTGGATACTTTTCTGATGAGACATGTAGAAATCTTTGTGGCGTAGTGACAAATTTATTTCTTATCTCAGAATTGCACGGAAACTCATTTAGCTCCATCTGAATGTGATGGGGCACCGAGTCCACACTTATGTTGAAGGGATGGGAAAACAGCTCCATGTCACCTCCACTTTTCCAAAAGTCCTCAAAGCACAGCTCAAACTCCTGGTCCAGGTTCCAGAGAAGTGCTGCGTGTTCAGGCAGTCTCTACTTCACCAGTTTGAACTCTCTCAGACTGGGGAAGTGTGCAAGGTTCTCTGAGAAGACGTTAAAAGACTGCAACAACTTTAAGCAACAACACAAGAGCTGTAACAAATTTTGCAACAAGAATATTGTTTTTTTTGTTCTTGAAAGAGTTTTCCTTTTTGCAGATATACACCCCAAATGAGAACACATTTTAACTGCACAACAGTGTTAAAGTCCACTTATACTTGTGCATTTACTAATATACTCCACATATTAAATTCATTAACTACTTTTACATCATGTGAGATGAATGCTGCCAACCGTCCTCTCCAGCGTTTGATTAAATCATGAGCATTATCACAAGAATGTGCACGATTAAAAAGAGGAAAAAAAACGTGCATGCCTGCCTCAAGTTTAAGTCCATGGACAGTGCTGTCCGTCCACAACAGTAAAAAATGCAGGACTTAATCACATGCAGTAATAGACATTAAAAATTAATGTGTGAACCTGTGACTTGCATATAGTCTGGAACCATTAAAAACAAACCAGCATTACCATATAAACAAATATATTAGATTTCAGGTGGGTGCATGCATGAACACTGAATTCGGCAGAGCCAACGAAATACATTAGCTGCTATGCTAGCAGGGCAATTAGCATGCTAGCACAGAAATGCTAATATAAATTGACAGCTGTACTGAAATGTAATTTTGTGCTTCTGTGCAATGACAAAAGGTTGATTCTGAATAAAACCAGCGCTTAATTTGATCTGGATCCAGCCTGAACAGGATCCAGGAACTCTTGTTTTGACAGTGTGCATTCCCAGCAACTTTCAGGTTTACCAAGAATAAAGTTATGAGCATGACTGCTTTGAATGAATAAGTGGCTCAAAACATTTACATAAATGCCAATTGTAAAAAAAAAAAAATAAAATGTCCCAATATATAATCTATTCTTTTAAATGGAGCATTTCTGCCTCTATCCACACCTTAAGAGCAGTAGGAGTGTGCCTGGAGGCTTCATGTAGAGTCGGTGTTTGTGGGTAGTCATTCTCAAGTGTAATACAACTTGACAGTTCTTTAACAACCTTGCTTTAACTGGCATAACACTGCCTCCTTTTGACCAAGCCCTGTCCTTAACTACATTATCTTGCTTTGAGCACATCAAATTAGTAAATAAAAAATTTATACCAAGCAACATTTACCACCTGGCTACGCTTAAGCTCATCTACAAAGTCCAGTCAAAAATTTAAAAAATTTCACGTCTGAAACCATTGGTTAAAGCTGGAAACCTTGACAAGGTTAGTTTTCAGCTTTTGCGATAGACTGCTACATCACGATCGATATATTGTCCCCCCCTAATACAAGTCAAATGGCAATTGGACTCTATAGATTTTAGAACACTTATAATTCAGAGTCTTCATTGTTTACAATAATCTTTATTGATCTTAGGCAGACAAATTCTGGTGATACAGCAGCTTGTGAACCATCACATGACAGTATCTCCAGTCAGTCCATATGTATTCTGCTGGGCTAGGGAGAAGCAGATGTTCATCTGAGGGGTTAAGAGACAAAATTTAAAAATGCATCGTTTTTCACTCAGAATTATAACTTCAGATATTCACTACAGTTTTAGAAGTGAATATTTCCCCACACCTAGCAGCCACAGCCAAATGTATGACACTGAAACGGTTTCAGCTTCTGGCCAATACTCAAGTCTTCCCACAGCTCAATGAAGTCACAACGCGAGATGAGCACTTTCCCATCTTCCAGTTTGCCTACAGTTTAAGTACAAAATCAGCAATTAGTTGATGGAATAACTTGAACAATTCTGCAATATTGGTGCATTTTACACAAGATTTATACCTGTGATAAAATACAGTTTGTTTCCAGTGTCCAGAGTGGCTCCACATGAATCAGAGGGAGAAGTATAGACAGCATCAATATCACGAGGGCCTTTGTACACCTGGACAAAGAGGGGAAGGAGAGGGAAAGAACAACAAACACAATTTTATGCCAATCTTCCCCATTGCAGAGTAACAAGTGTGTAGTTTAAGACAAGTTTTACTGGACTTTGATGTGGCAACTAAATTTGTCAGGAACCTCTTCTGCTTAGATGTAGCCACATTACTGACTTCCATGCAGTACTTCATTATCAAATTACATGGACAGTCCAGCAGACTGAGGGCATTTCCAGTTCCCCCTCATTGCTTCTCGGTGGGGCCAAAATGCAGTATTCAGTACCTCAGTCACTCTGATGTCATATTCGATGTTCTTGATAGCATTTCCAGAAGTGTCATTCCCAGCTTCAACCATCTGACTTCCAGAGACTACTGCCTTGATAACTACAAAAAAAAAAAAAAAAAAAATTTACAGACAGCATAGTGTTAGCATGCTAGAGTTGAGCAGAAACAACTTCCAAAGATTTAGATTTTAAAGGCTTGCATGAGCCAGGACGATTGAAGCAGCAAGGAGTTTCATCAGTAACATATGTGGCATGTTGAACCCTCATGCAGACAAACATGACTGGTAAAATAGATACATTGGACTTATTGAACTAACAAGAGCTGACGTGCTGCAGGGAAACATGGAGAATGCACACGACAGACTGTGGGAAGCACAAGACACTGACGAGGAAACACCGACGCGGAACTGAAGGGACACCAACGAGACAATATGACAAACACCTGGGGTGAAGGTAGTAGCAACAGGTGAAGGTGGGAGAAAATGCATCTTGCACTACATCATGGCTGGGGCAGTGTGAAATATGCAGCATTTTGTAAACTAGACAGACAGACACACATTTTTAACACAAAAATAGAGGGAAGTAAAATAAAACATCCTCTAGATAAAATGGGGTGTTTTTTAAAACTGAGCATAGTCAAAACATTTTAAACAAACAGGAAACTGTTTCCTTGTAAAAAGAGTTAAACATACCAACATCTGATCTGCAATAAGCCTGCTGAATTTTGACCGGGGTACACTTGCAGGCTTCTGCTCCATCTGCCACTTGCCAAAGAAACAGGATGGTCAGTGAGAGGAAACAACTTTTCATAATCAGAGTCATCTTTGGATGCTGAAGTAGGAATCAGCTGTCAAAATGTGATGCAATCAAATAGAGAGAAACTTGTACTCCCTTGGCTCTGGTCTCTTCTGAAACACATGGCAGCTGTGGCTTTTATCCCCATTAGACCATATCAGGCCACACCCCTTGATAGTCTTCTTCTTCTTCTTTTTCTTAAGGAGTTTATTTGCAGTTGGCAAAAAACTGAAGGTGTGCATTACCACCACCAACTGGTATGGAGTGTGGTTCATCATGGTTTGATTCTGTGTATGTACTATTTGTATAAACTATATCCATCCATCCATTATCGTTACCAACTGCTTCCTCTTTGGGTCGCTGGTGCCCATGTCCAGCAATCACTGTGCGAGAGGAGAGGTACACCCTGGATAGGTCTCCAGTCCATCACAGGACCACATAGAGACAAACAACCATTTACTCTCTCACTCACACCTAGGGACAATTTAGAGTTACCAATCAGACTAACATGCATGTTTGTGGTCTGTGGGAGGAAACCAAAGTACCTGGAGAAAACCTACCCATGCACAGAGAGCACATGCAAACTCCACCCAGAAAGGCCCCAGAACCGGGATTTGAACACGGACAACCTGCTCGCTGAGATGCAGCAGCTCTACCAGTTGCGCCACCGTGCTGCTATAAACTATATACATAATCAAATTCCATTATTCAA